GGGCAGGTTACTGAATTTGGTTGGTGTCTCCTTCCTCTCCAGGGCTGTGGTGCTGGGCAGGTTACTGAATTTGGCTAATGGTGTGTCGTTCTTCTCTAAGTGGCTAAACTGACCACAGCTATGTAACATTCTGAGAGGGATCTCATCGTCATTCACATTGCAGATTGGAATGTTGTTCAAACCTGGAAGAATAAGGATAACCATTTATTTGTTTCCTGGCAAACCTTTTCGGAACACACCCCATCGTTCACTATCTCCTATTGCACTCACATTTCCCACAGAACTTATCATTAGTACTGTTAAATCTCTTTGTAAAGCTGCTTGTCAGAGCTACACCAGGCTGTGAGCCTCCTGGATGGGGGTTTTGCCCATTTTGTTTACTGTTGCTAGTACCTACTCCGGTGCTTGGCAGAAATCTGGTGAGCTCTGATGGTGGAGTGAATTGTCTGGAGAACACTGCCAGCCATTTTATTTGGTTACATACTTCAAACATTATCAACAGTAACTATATAAAATAGATATGAGAATTCTTGAAGACACTATCATATGTTATCATCATACTTTAAACACTAGAGTACTGATTGGCCCAGGTACACAGTAAAAAAAAATCACACTAAATTAAAAATAGGCAAGCCTACACACAGATATGTCAATTGAGCCCCCTAATCTCTCCTTTAACTGGGTTTTAAAAAGAAAACATGTGGTGTGTGTGTCTTGTATGTTGGAGGGGATTCACAGAGCAGCCCTCTCCGTTCCCACGTGTTTCTGTTTTATCTTTGGCTTCCACTTCTTCTTATATTCACAGACAAATGTGCCCACATGGCAATCTCACAGTAGATGGAAATAATATGAAAAAATTCGTAGTCCATGTATTCAAGAGTTGAGGAAGGACTACTTTTCAAAAGTGCAAAGGAACAAGAGAACAGCATGACTGGCTTGAGAGCCGTTGAGGAGATGGGATGGAGCTCCGGAGAGGTCAGGTCCATTACTGGGACTGCGGTGGTTCTGCAGCTGAGGTTGTAAAGGCTGCTGTGTCTGAGAGCCAAGCAAAAGCTCCTTCTTCACAGCCCTTAGTCTCTGACTGATACACAGTCTTTAATGGGAAAGTGTTGTTGTTGTTTTGTTCATTTTATTTTGTTTTTTGCTTTCCATTCTTTTTGTTCAAGGCAACTGTTTCCTTAGTGGATGACAGTCCTTTAACAATTAGAAAATTTAAAATGACGGAAATAATTAACTAAGAAAAATGTATACTATGTCTCCCACTTTGCTTTTCTGTTGCAGTAATAAAACATCATGACTGAAAGCTTAGCAGGGAAAGGGTTTGTTTGGCTTACACATCCATGGCACAGTGCATCCTGAGGGGAAGTCAGAGTAGAAGTTCAAGGAAGGAACCTGGAGGCAGGAACTGAAGCAGAGGCCATCTCGCCCACCGACACAAGTATCAACTGTTGATACTTAGGGCCCAGGCTAATCTTCTCTGTCTGGAAATGTCCTTTTAGCTGAAGGGAACCCTCGTGCACTAACAAAGCACTAACACCACCAATGCCCGGCGGATGGAAGTCACAAAAGGATCAAGTCTTTACCCTGGAAGAGGCCACCCCTGCTTCGCTCTCCCTTGTGGCCCCTGCGACACCCTTGTGGCACTTCACGCTCACCTTTTTGCCTAATTCTGCTTCCTTCATTTCCTTTGTAAATGTTGTTCCACAAAGTGCTTCCAAATAAAGCTTCTTGACACAAATTCCCAGATCAGTATCCTCAAAGAACCTAATTTAAGACAACTTCTCTGGAGGAAAATATAGGGTACTATGCAAAATATCACATGACAATCTAGACTGATGATATGGGCCCTAGAAAGTATTTTGAAATGATGCTAAAACCAGTATCTCAAAGATAAGAAACAGCAAGGAATGAGGGAATTTTCTGTCGAGGGGAAATGTGTGAAAAGCCAGAACTTTCAAAGGACTTGCTTACATCTTCAAGGAACTTGGATAAGCCTATAAGGTGCGTGCACAGAGGGGCGGGCGCTATGTGAGATGAGTTATAGGAGACAGAAGCCACAGCACAGGATTAGACAATATTACCGCAAACGTCTCTGGGGGATTGCAGCAGGATTTGTCAGTATAAGAATAGTGATAACATCAGCAAGTACGTTTTGCGTGAGGTGGGGTGGTAGCCAGAGTGCAGTGGGCTAAAGAGTGGCTCAGAGGTGAAGATGGGAGAACCCAGAGTGCTCACATCTTTCCTGGCTTTGAGGCAGTGCAAGTTTCTTAGCACTTAGCAAGTTTCTAAGCACAGAATTCTTAGAGAATTCTGGAATTTTGGTTTTTTTTTTTAAAAAACAAAAAATGTTGTAAGAATATGCTTTTGTTTTAATTCCAGGTGTGGAGATATGGGGGCTGCTTCACAGTAGCTGACTATAATTTGCCTCATACTCTGGCAGATAGTTTCTGTGATTGTGTGATGTTTGGAATTCTGGGAAGTTTTCAGAGGGTATATAAATGCTAGAGCCCTACTAGGTGGGGTTTGTGGTTGTTGGTCATTCAGGGGGCTAAGTTTCGGTTTGTTAGTAGGTGTGCTCAAAAAGAATTAAGAAGAAAGATTACTTCTCTCTCCCCCCCCTTCCTTGTTTCTCTCCTATCTAATGATAGGGGCTGAAATGGGGGAATAAAGGCTGGAAAAAGGAAGACAAAGACACTACAAATTAACAAAGACTAGCTACAAGCAAAGAAGAAACAAGAGGAAGGAAAGATTCAAGAATCTCTAGCTCTCTCTCTTCTCTATCCTTTCACTCCTATCTATTGATAGGGGATGAAGCTGGGGGGGCGGATAAAAGGTGAGAAAAAGAAAAAAACGGCAAAGTAGCAAGAGTCAGCTACACTACTGAACCTCCTAAATGTGCTCTGTGGCTAGTGACCACTTTCCTCTTGTTGCATGTATTCTACCTGACCTGTCCACCTTCTGCTCCGTTTCCTGACGCTCTCTTCTGTGTTGGCCCTTCACCTCCCATGTTCATATATTTCACCATGACACGGGTATTATTGTCAGCAGGCTCTGCCTGGATAGTCACTCCAAGTTGGTGTGTTTTGAATAAATGAAGGGATGGATAGACGACTGAATGATTAACCAGATGATCAATGTCGCTGACTTAAATACCATGTTTCTATTGATGACTCCAGGATGTACATCATGCTCCTAACTTCTGAGATCAGCCTCAGACTTCCCCTTAGCCAGACTATTTCTACTGGGTGCCTGGAATGCAGTTTGCCTCGCTGCACTGAATTCGGTGTTTGACTAGGCTGTAGTCTTTGTAAGACTGTTTTTGCTGATTCATTCCCTCCATCCAGAATGCAAGTTAATCTGCCTTGAGACCAGTAAGCACTTGCTGAGAGAAATGGCTCCAGCTTCTCCCCTTAGCCTCCCTGTTTCACCAGAAGCAGCATGTTTTCTCGTCACGATACCCTCAGGTGGCAAAGGGAAGCAGCACAGGTTCACGTGGGATCTCTTGCCTTCCTGCTTTGTTCCATTTGGTTACCAGGACATTTGCTTTTCTCTTGAACAGTTTCCCCAGCCTCATATTCTGGTGTTGCTTAGCTACCATTGTAGCTAAGGGATATTTGTATGTTTGAACAAGATTGGCAGCCTTCTAGTTCTCTTTATTTCCAGGCTCTACACCTTTCCATTAAAAATGCTTAATTTGTATTATGAAAATGTTCTCTCTCTCTTTTCTTTCAAAGGAACATGACTCATTTTCATCTATTGGGAGTCATTATACCTTACAGAGGTGTGTCTTCCTCAATAAGGACATGTCCACCTTCTACTCAGTTTCCTGGTGCTCTCCTCCGTGTTGGCACCGTTCTCTTCACTTCCTGTGTTCATATACTTAACCACAACCCGGTCATATTGTTAACAGGCTCTGCCTGAATAGTCACTCCAAGTCGGTGTTTGCTGAATACACTCACTGAGGAAGCAATGTGGCTCTAATAGGAATGAGTCTCAGGAAGGACATGAAAGACTAATGATTAACCCACCAGATGAGGTGGCTTTTGAGGGAGGTGTCCCACAGTTACCCTATCTGGGGTAAACTGACTGGTTCACTGTGTCTACTACCAACAGTTCTGTTTGTTTTCCATGTACTTTGTAATCTTGAGAAACCTGCCTCTCAGAACAGCATTTCTCTCTGTAGATGCATGTAGAAAGCATATATACTTTCATTCTTCAGCACAAGAGAAGATTCCAGCAGTGTCTAATTTCCAGAGGGCTTGCTACAGAAAGCTAAAATAAGAAAATGGGGATGGAAGGAAAGGTAGGAGGGTAGGCAGGTAAAGAGGAGGAAAGGAAGGAGAGACAGAATATATGCAAGGCCCTGGCCTCCATACTGTAACAGCATGGTCCTGCTGCTCTGTATTTGACTGTTAATTATTTTGCCCCCTAAGGTCTGCTTGCTGCCTTTTATGAGAAGACACTCACGTACCCTAAAATGAGGTTTGTAATCCTTGCCTCCAAAATATCCCCAATTGGCTAAATAAATGCCTAAATAACTGGGCAGGGCAGAAGTTAGGGAGGTGTGGCCAAGGTTTGTGCACCTGAGGTGAGGATCACAGGAAGGAGGAGGAGATAGGTACGGGATGAAAGGAAGCAGAGTAGCCATGGGATAGAACCGCGTGGGCTGGGAGGAGGAACAGCATGGAGAGTAGCGGCCCAGATGGGAAGTATGTGCAAGTATTTGCGGGGGTATAGGATGGGAAGAAGCCCAGACAGGAACAATTAAAGCAGATAGCATAGAATGTGGGGCCAAGAGATAACAAGATAGATTAGGGGGTAATCACTGCCAAGCCCTGGGTGAAACAAGGATTATTTAAGTACAACAGGTGTCTGTGTGTCTTTTATTGTTTGACAGCAGTTTAAATAAAATTGCTGTAATAGTTAAGGGCCTTAGTAATAACATTATTGGCAGTTTATATTTTATCTAACACCACGTCCAACATATATTCATATATGTGCGCACTTCGCTTGGGCATGTTTAAATCCTGGCATGGGTGTTGTGATGGCTATTCTTGTTTGTCAATTTGACTACATCTGGAATTACCTAAAATTCAAAATGGCTGGGAACACCTGTGAGGGATTTTTTTCCTTAGTTGGAAGTGGGAAGCTTCACTTCTAATGTGGATCTTTGAGGTGAGAGGACACACCTGTAAGGTGGACCATGCCTTCTTCTGGAACCCTTTATAAAGGACATGAACGAAGGATGATTTCTCCTTTTGCCTTCTTTGTCCTGCCCTAGCTAGCAAGTCCATTCCTTCCTGGCTTTAAATCCCATTTCTTCAGGATTCTGGCATATACTTGGAAACCCAGCCTCGTGAATTGAACAATTACTGGATTCTTGGACTTTCCATTAGTAGACAGCTTTGCTGGACCATAGCCTGTAAATTATTTTAATGAATTCCCTTTAGATATATGATATATATGATAGATAGATAGATAGATAGATAGATAGATAGATAGATAGATAGGCAGACAGGCAGATAATAGAAATATAGATTGATTCATTCTGTAAATTCCGATACTCTAGAGAACCCTGACCAATACGGGTGGGAAGGTAGTTAAGATATTAAAATGTGTTTAAGCCAAATTGTCAGTGCCCACCTGGAGCTCCCTGAAAGACTTCCCAGGTTCTGAATACTTTGGCCATTTCCCCGGCCACCATCCCAACACAAGCAATTTCTGGGCTAATGTCTGACAGAGCAGATACCTACAAACACCTATAGGCACTAGGACCTGGCTCCTGCTGTGTTGGTACCCACCTTTATCAACAGCTAAATGTTTGAAGTAAAAGTTCAGGTTGTGCATGGAGGAGAAGAGTATCTGAGTAGCTGGAGCCCCATTACCTTTGATGTGGCAGACCCGTCTGGGGTGAGGGGTGTGCCGGACTCGAAAGCAGCTTTCATTTCTCAGCATCATGTGGCTTCTTCTGTATTCTGAGTAAAGAGAAGATGTTGGGGATCTGAGGATAGGGTTCATGGCCTGCTGGTTTCCCCCTCCACAGCTGCCACAAAATTTCGTGGGATCTAACTTGATTGGCTTAATGCACAGATGGGCTTGAAACCTTGAAAGCACAGAATGACAAGTCTCCTGAGAAGAGACCCTGACATTCGCTTGTCTATCAGATACTTTTCCATCTTTGCACTAAATTATCTCTCTTGTCAAAACAATGTGAGGATAATGAAAACAAACAAATGAACAAAAAAGACAATGGGGGGCTGTTTTGCTCTCAAATCAAACTTTTATAAACATTCTAGTTCTGAATGGAATGTAAGTTTCCCTTGGATAAATAAATGAACTATACATTACTTTCAATTGTATTTAATATCAATGTTGTCTTGTGATAAAACTGTTTACATGATTATTATTTATTTTAGTGAAGTAAATTTAAATTAGGCTTTTAAAACACTATGTCTGCGAAAGTGCTTTACATTAAATTAGCTTAATATAAGACACTTTCATGTTGTACCTTTAATAAATCTAGATTTTCATGTGTATATCCTCTGAATGCATAATGATTCCTAAAAAGAGTAAACAGATGGGTAAAATGACACTACATGTCCCAGCTGGCAAGCTGGATAACATTTGGGAAGTTGTTTGTAGTGTTCAGTGATAGCAATGGCCTTCTAACATCAATCACACACCATAGGTGCAAACCATAGATGGCATGGTTCTTGGTCAACTCAAAACCAGATGATGAAAAAAAAAAAATCTGTATTCAGAACATACAAAGGAATTACTTAAACCTTCTGAAAGTGACATACTATTCTTGGAGCTGGAGAGATGGTTTAGAGGTTAAGAGCACTGGCAACTCTTTCGGAGGATGAAGGTTTGATTCCTAGCACCCACATGGTGGCTCAAAGCATATAACTCCAGTCCGTGGGACTCTGATGCCCTCTTCAGGGCTCTTCCAGCACTGCATGAACAGACTTGCACAGACTTGCACCCAAGGAAAACACCCACACACATTTTTTTAAAATGCCATTTTAGATGACATAGTGCTCTTGAAGTCTAAGAAAGACATTTTTTTATAGATGTCGTATATTTTCCATGTTCTATGGAAACCTCATTTATCATACCAGAACTGGCAAAGAGACATTTTTATTGTCATTCCTCCCTCCCCATGAAAATAACACATAGTATCAAACACATGGAGCTAATGGAACTTCAACAGGATGTTGTTGAGTATTTCTAGTTTATTGGCCCCTTTTATATATTCATTTACTAGTAGTGTGTATGTGTGTTTTTGAGAGTGGGCTCGTTCATGCTGCAGTGTGGATGTGGGTACAGAGCACAAGGGGGTACTTTCCTTCCACCTTGGGCTCCATCTCAGATCATTAAGCCCATATAGGAAGTACTTCTACCATTGAGTCATCTCACCAGTTCATATTGATATCTTTTTCTACTATGGCAGTATGTCCAAGCTTTTCAGGGAATATGTCTAGACTGCATGGTGTATAAATTACCAGCCATGTTACCAGAAAACATGACTTTCAAGAATTTCAGTTTGGGGTGTGTGTGTGTGTGTGTGTGTGTGTGTGTGTGTGTGTGTGTGTGTTAGCTTTAACTCTCAGCTTGTGCAGCATAGTCACTTGAGAAAGGGAGTCTCCGTTGAGGGGTTTCCCAGATACAGCTGGCCTGTGGGCAGTCTGGGAGGGGATTATCATGGTTGCTTTTGTCATAATAGAATGCCGTCCTCTGTGGGTGCTACCATTCCCTGGGAGATAGTTCCGGGCTGTATAAGAAGCTAACTAATAAACCTCTAGAGGGTCTGGGATTCTTCTCACTCTTCCTAAAGAAATGCTGTAGCTTTGGTTTGAGAGGGTTGGTCAGAGGTCATGCCCTGTGTGATGAGTGTTTAGAGAGTGAAGAAAGCTTGCAAATATGTTGTTCAGATAGATCACTAAAATTTTACAAAGATATAAGCTATCCATGGAAGTCTTGTGCCCCACAAAATTTTGTTGATTTCTAATCATCAACATGATAATTAGAAGATGGAACCTTCGGAAGGTATTTAGGTCATGAGGGTGGAGTCCCCAAAGGATGAAGTTAGTGCCTTATAGAAAAAGTCCCAGAGAGCTGCCTTACCATACATATGCTGAGAAGACCTGTCCCTATATGGGAGACAGCTCTTACTTACCAACCTGTGAATCTACTGATGTTTTCATTTTAGACTTTGCAGCCCCCAGAAGCATGAGAAGATAACTTTCTGTTGTTTATAACTTGCCCTGCTTATGGTATTTTGTTTATATATCCACTTAATGGATATGACCATGTTCTTTGAAAGTCCACATTGTTAGAAATGCAGTTGATTAATAAACTGAAGCAGTACTGCAAATTCTTTTAGCAAGTGAACTAATGGGGAAAAGAAATCAAGCTAACTTAAACCAGAAGAAAAGCAAAAACATGCTCATTTATCCTACTAATGGCCCACACTTTTCCCCCTCATGCTCATGCTGACTTCAGTATGGCAGATTACTCTTTGCCTCCTGTGAATTGGTTTAGAAGAACATTTTTTCTTTTAGAGTTTTATTTTATGGCAGATGAGTGGAATGATAACTTAATAATTATAAACTCAGAAGAAATTAAAGTATTGTTTATCATCGTATCCCATACATTTAAAATATATGGGATACATATTAAATGTATTTTAAAATACATTTAAAATTCCATACATTTAAATTTTAAACATTTATTATCTTATGTATATAGATGTTTTTCTTGCATGTATGTATGTGTCCCATGTACATTCCATGCCTCAGAGGCTAGAAGATGGTATCTGATCCCCTGGGACTGGAATTACAGACAGTCGTGAGCCACCATGTGATTGCTGGGAACTGAATCTAGGTCCTCTGAAAGAACAAGTGTGCTTAACTGCTGAGCCATTGCTCTAGCCCTGAGCATATTTTTTTAAAATAAGAGATTAATAGAAGTGGAGACCAATAAACAAATTACTTAATTATTGAATAAATATCTTTATTGGAGCATCAGAAATGACATTGATTTCCAATAAAGAGACTAAATCTTTTTGCTGAACTCAATATTAGAGATATTTGTTAGTGCTAAGGTGACTGACGTCTACCATAGATGAAATCCTGAAGCAAAGTCATGATCATTTCTACATGTAAACCATGAGTTAATCAGCCAGTAACATATAGAATTTTGTGATTCGTAATGGAGGCGGGGGGGGGGGGGAGCCATACATTCATTTCCAGTACTTCATAGGCATGCTATAGGAAACAATTCCCAGGCTTTGATCCCTGTGTCACATGGTCATACAGAAGCCATGTTCTCATCACAGGGGCCTATACCTCAAACCATGGGGAAGCAAATACTAAAAACTACCAACTCAACTGTAGTGTCAGTGACTGTGGCTTGCAAAAGTGGCACCCATGGCTGTAGGTCCAGTCAGTTCAATCAAGTTAGCACAAGCAATAGAGAGTGGCCTAGAACTTATGTCATTTTGTACTAATTTCTATTAAAATAAGATTAAGCAATTTTTAATAAACATCCCAGCTCTTACCTTGCTAACTACATATGATAAAACCTGCCTAAGACGTCCACTCAAGAGATCTCCTGAGAGAAGATAGCTCTACTTAGTGATGCTCACACTGCTATCACTTCGAACAGGAAATGTGAAGCGCACGTGTGAGGAATTTAATTGCACATCGCATTCGTCATTCTAAAAACTATAGCTGGGGAGATGACTCAGCAGTTAAGAGCACTTGCTGCTCTTGCTGAGGACTCAGACTCATTTCTCAGGACTTACACTGAGCAGCTCAAACTGTCTATAATTCCAACTTCCGGTTATCTAAAGCCATCTGGCTTCCATGGTACTGCACGTATGTGATGCACACCCATATATTCAGGCAAAATTCAGTTTGTTCAGGAGCCCCACAAGGAGGCCAACAGAGCCAAAATACCTGGGCCCAGGGGGGCTGCAGAGACTGATACTCCAACCAAGGACCATGCATGGAGAGGACCTAGATCCCCCTTCTCAGATGTAGCCCAAAGGCTGCTCAGTTTCCAAGTGGGTTCCCTAGTAAGGGGAGCAGGGGCTGTCTCTGACATGAACTCAGTAGCTGGCTCTTTGATCACCTCCCCCTGATGGGGGAGCAGCCTTACCAGGCCACAGAGGAAGACAATGCAGACAGTGCTGATGAGAGCTGATAGGCTAGGGTCAGATAGAAGGGGAGGAGGTCCTCCTCTATCAGTGGACTAGGGGAGGGGCCTAGGGGGACAAGGGGAGGGAGGGTGGGACTGGGAGGAGATGAGGGGTCTACAGCTGGGATACAAAGTAAATAAATTGTAATCATAATAAATAAATACATACATAAAAAATAAATATTTTAAAGACTCAAATATGCTTATGAAAGCAACATTTCTTGTAGTCTCTCAAAGCTACCCATATATTAGTAAATTATTAATTTTTTTGGCATATGGGAAATACAATCCTCCAAAGAGAAAGATTGAAAAGAACAAGTTAATGTTACTCAGAAAAATGCCCTGACCATTTGCATAAATAGTGATAGCCTTACATTCAAAATAGTACATGCATAGAACATGTGCTTACAAAGAGAACACAGTAACGAAAAAGAAAACGAGTAATGAACAGCTGAAAGTTTCGTGAGGTGAACATTTTGTACAGCTGTTACTGGAAACATGAACACTGCTCTCCCACTCTTCCGGCCCGGAACACTCCAGAGCCGTCCCCATGGCGTCTTCCCTTCCTGGATGAATTTTTCTGTGTACACACTTTCTCCAAATGATGCCCCAATCCCTCCTTATAGTAGTTCCCATTCTGACTACAGCCTCTGTCACTTTCTAACCATTTTCTTCTTTAGAGCATTGGTCGTAGCACCTACCACTTCCTCCTTTTTGTTTTTAAACATTCCACTTCTTCACTATTCCTTCCAATCATCAGGCCTTGACCTAGCCTGGGTTTTTCATCTTTGTTCTCCCGCTGTGTGCACACACCA